GAATTAAGGAAAGATGGGTAAATTTCATGGATAGCTTTCCAAGGAGAACAAGAGGATACATGAGGGGCGACTTTTGCATCCCAACCATTCCCATCCAAACCATGGATACTCGCAATGACTTTGTGCCACAATCTATCTCTCTCAAAAGGGAACCTCCACAACCATTTTCCTAGCAGAGCTGGGTTCCTAAGTGAAATATTTCCTATTCCCAAACCCCCTTTATCCTTGGGATTTCTAACTTGATCCCAATTTATCAGGTGATCCTTCCTCTCCTCTCCTGGATCCCAAAGGAAATCTCTCATGTATTTTTGTAACCTCCTTGCCACTCTACAAGGTATTTTAAAGGTTGAGAGGAAGTAAACAGGGAGGTTTGCCAACGTGGCTCTGATCAGTGTTATCCTTTCACCAAGAGAGATGTAATTCCTCCTCCAAAGAGCTAGCTTCTTGGCAAATCTTTCAATGATTGGCTTCCAAAAATCTTCTTACCTAGGATTACCACCCTAAGGTAACCCCAAATAGTTAGTTGGCCAACTTTTAATCTCACACCCCAAAATCTCTACAAATCTATTAAGTTCCCCTTCCTCCAAATTGATCCCTACGATGCCTGTTTTGGTCCAATTAATCCTTAAACCTGTTATCCCCACAAAGTTATCCAATAGCCTCTTTAGATTCACCACACCTTCCTCGTTACCACCCTCACAAAAGAAGATTGTGTCATCTGCAAATTGGAGGTGGGTAACAACCTCTTGATTTCTACCTATCCTCCATCCCCTGAACAACCCTTGGGAGTCAGCTTTTGCCACCATTCTACTTAATACCTCAGCCACTACAGTAAAGAGAAAGGGAGATAAGGGGTTTCCTTGCCTAATTCCTCTCTCCGCTAGAAAGAAATCCCTCGCTACTCCATTAATAAGAATTGAGTAATGGGCAGAATTCAGACATCCTCTGATCCAAGATCTCCACTTAGTTCCAAAGCCCAACCTTTCTAACATTTGAAGTAGCACTTCCCACTTAACCATGTCCTAAGCTTTCTCTAGGTCCACCTTACACACCAACTCTTTTCCTTTACCCTTTCTTTTTTTGTAACACACTCATTGGCTACTAGAATTTGATCCACAATCTGCCTACCTTCCACAAAAGCACCTTGGAAAGGTGAGATGATCGATGGAAGCACTTTCTTGATCCTTTCTGAGAGAACCTTTGCAATAATTTTATATATACTCCCAACAAGACTAATTGGCCTTTAGTCTTTAGGGGTTTTGGCCTCCCTCATCTTCAGGGTTAAAGTTATAAAAGTGGCATTCACCCCTCGAGGCACCTCTCCTTTGAGAAAGAATTCATTGAACACTTCCAGGATATCATTTTTCAGCCAATCCCAACATTCTTGATAAAAGGCCATTGAAAATCCATCCTGTTCGGGGGATTTTGATCTATCCATGGAAAATATTGCACTCTTAATTTTCTCCAAAGTGAAGTTCCTCTCCAAAGACAAAGATTGTTCTTCTGAGAGCCTATCCCCTTCCATTTCTGGTACTTCTGATGTCACCCTACTTGAGCTTGTGAAGATTTCTTTGAAGTAGTTAACAAAGATCCTTATGATCTCCTGGCTCTCTCTTACTTCCTGACCCCCCTCCTCCACACTGAAGATCAAATTTTTCTTTCTCCTTCCATTTGCAATTGCATGGATAAACTTCATATTACCATCTCCTTTAACAATCCATTGACACCTTGACTTTTGTCTCCAACAAATTTCCTCCTTTCTTAAAGTCTCTTCCAATTCCTTCTTAATTTTCCATCGATCCTCTCTCTCTCTTCTTCTGTTAAACTTCCGCTAGCCTCTTTCTTGTCAAGCCCCTCGATCTTACTCACTATATTGTCTTTTATTTCCTCCACCCTTCCGAAATGCTCATTGTTTCACTCTTTTATTTTCCTTTTTATCCTCTTTAATTTCCATGCAAAACTTAACAATTTCATACTCCCCAAGGGTCTGAGTTCCTGCCACCATTCCTTTAGTCTGGTTTTAAATGAGTGATCCTCAAACCACATGTTTTCAAATTTGAAAGGAGTTGGGCCTCCCCTTGGAATTTCCTTATCAATAATGGGGCAATGATCTGAGGTGACCCTAGGTAGCCCTTTCACTACCATTGAGCCCCACAATTTTTCCCAGTCAGGAGTAAATAGAAATCTATCTAGTTTGGAGCAGGTTGGGGGGGATTGGAAGTTTGACTATGTATAGTCCACCCTTAGTATTGGAGGTTCAATCAATTCAAGGGAATCGATTAAGTTATTAAACTTCCTCATGCTGGTAGTGATTCCTTGGTTCGGCTTTTTTGTTTCTCCCGAAAACTGATAACATTGAAATCACCCCCCACACACCACGGTCCTTCCCAAACTCCTCTAATTGCACATAACTCCTCCCAAAAGGCCTCCCTATTTCTATAGGAATTGGGACCATATACATTTGTAACCACCCCACTCACACCTGTCCGAGGGTCTTGTAATTTTTATGGAAACTGAGTATCTGCCAATCAATTCCTCCACACTTTCCATTTTTTCATTTCTCCAAATAGTCAAAATTCCTCCTAAAGCTCCCCATGAAGGGGCAAATGACCAGCTTAGACCCCTATCTCCCCAAATGCTTCTCATCCACCTTCCATTCACAGCTCTGATAACTTTGTTTCTTGAATCAAAATCAGATCTGGTCTTTCTTTCTTGAGAGTGCTCCTAATTATTCTCCTCTTTTTGGCACTTCCAAGGCCTCTTACATTCCAGCTGACTATCTTCATTTCAATCTGCTTGAAACCCCTAGTCAGTGGTCAGTTGCAAATTAGTAATATTTAGATAAGCAATATCAATCTAAATGAATTAGGAGACTGCTATTTGGACTTATGTCTAATTCAGAGCTGGAAAATTTTGTAGTGCCTTGCAGAGAATGAGAGCCATGGAGACATCCTTGTCAAAAGCTAGTCGTATTTATGCAGACTGCTCTGCCATGGCAACAAAGCTCCGTGCTATGACATATAACACAGAAGAACTGGTCCGTGCACAGCACAATGAAGTAACGTATCTTGTTCAACTTGCTGCAAGAACGAGTCCAAAGGGTCTTCACTGTCTCTCCATGCGACTAACCACTGATTATTTTGCTTTGCAACCTGAGGAGTGGCAATTTCCTAATAGACAGAAATTGTCTGATCCACAGCTCCATCATTATGCAGTCTTCTCAGATAATGTCCTTGCATGTGCAGTGGTTGTTAATTCCACTGTATCAGCAGCAATAGTAAGATGACCCAATTTTTTTTCTTTTTCTTTTCCACTATTTGCACTTTATCAGGAAGTGTTGCTTAATTTCTCTAGTGGTGCTATTTAGAAAATAAATCTTAATGAGAATAAATCTACTATTTGTGAGGAAACAAGGAAAGCTTATCCTGCTTGGTTTATTTGTAGGAACCCAAAAAAATCGTCTTCCACATAGTGACTGATGCCCTCAACCTCCCAGCAATTACAATGTGGTTCCTTTTAAACCCTCCTGGTAAGGCGACAATTGAGGTCAAAGGCATGGATGATTTTGAATGGCTGTTCTCCAGATATAGTATGGCATTGAAGAACCAGAATACCCGGGACCCAAGATACAGTTCGAGACTGAACTATCTTCGCTTCTATCTACCAGATATCTTCCCCGAGCTGAATAAAATTGTGCTTCTTGATCATGATGTGGTGGTGCACAGGGATCTGGGTGGATTGTGGAGTTTTGATATGAAGGGAAAAGTAAATGGAGCTGTTGAGACTTGCCGGGTAGGTGAGCCAACGTTCCGCCGGATGGGTATGCTTATTGACTTCTCAAATCCAACCATTGCAAAGAGGTTTAATGCTTCGACATGCACGTGGGCATTTGGTTTGAATGTTTTTGATCTACTAGAGTGGAGGAGGCAAGATTTGACAAATGTCTACCATAAGTACCTAGAATTGGTAATCAAATTCTGCCCTTTTTTGTATTTACTTTTATTGGATGTTTAAAGATGGTGCAAAGTTATATCAGAACTATGTCCTTTTTCTCCTTTTCTTTTCCTTACTCTTTTAAATAAGGATTTTATTCAAGAAAAATGGAAAGAAAAAAACTAACATCTCCTAAGTAGAACCAAGTCAATGGCTAAACATCTCTAAGCAGACTAAAACTTGAAACAAGAAAACGTTGAGGAATCAAAAAGTAAAAAAGCTGGAGCTCAAAGCTATGAAACAAGGTGCACAACTTGATTGAATTGCCCAAACCTAACAGAGAGCCAACAAGACCTAGCAAACCATGGAAAGATATGATATTTAGAGCCCTTATCCCTTTTCTCATGTTAGAGTCATCCATACTCTTTGAGTCATGGCTAATAGAAATCCCAAAATTTCTCACTTCATTTGACTTCCTTTTTGACCTTGATAGTCTACTGCTTTTCTCCCCTTTTTGTGAGCAAATATTCTATTGTATTTAATTTTTTGATGAATTATTCTAATGTATTTAATCCTTCAAGTTTACTTGTATTACTCTTTACATAAAATTTTATTAAAAAAAGAGGTACATCATGGAGGTGATAAGATATCACCAAGGGAAGAAAAGCAAGTCTCAAAGATCCTTTGAGACCCCAAACCCACATAACTTGTTGACAAAAGGAACACCCAAGCATTTCCAAACTAAGAACAAGGAAAAAACCCCAAACCAATCCCCCGAAAACATAGCCCAATAGCCCATCAAGAAAACAGAAAACAAAAGCCCCTCCTTGCCACAGCCATGACTTCAGAGAATCTTTGTGGGCATGCCCTCTTGAATTAAAACGTCCTCATCCCATATCTTGTCTTTTTTCGGACGGGCATCTTTATTCAACTTCTCTTCCTTTCTTCTCCTTCGAACTCCTCAAAAGCCTTTCTAGCAAACTCCTCACCACCCCAATAAAACAGACCTAGGTTTTTCCCAATTGCAACCTCTGTCCACTATTTTTTGGAGGGCCCCCTCACCTGATTCCCCATCATTACTGTTATTCTTTTGCATCGTCTGTCTCACCACAGACTCGGAATCACCTCCACTGGAAATGTTTTCCTGCTGCTCCTACGGCATCAGGGAGGTTGATGACTGAGACTATCCCGGTGTCCCCCCATGATCAATACCATACGTTCCATTGTCTCTCAATCTTTTTCTCCTGTTTACCCATTTGAAATGTTTTATAGGTCCTGCTCCTGTCAGGCCCAATTTTAGCCTAGAGAAAATCTTAGTCACATGCACAATATTATGATTTCTCGAACTGCGTGGTTTCTTTCTTATTATTTGATTGGTTTGTTCCCCCTCCTCTTCAGAGTTGCTCCTTCTACCCAAATCGACACTCAAATTTCCAATCTTCACCTCCTCGTATTGCTGAACATCCTTGGTGTAGCCATTCGATCTGGTTTCCAGTCTCTTCACTTTCACCTGAAAATTCCTCACCTTCCATCTCATATTCAATCTCCACTCCAGCTTCAGCAATTCAATCAAGTTTGGGCAATTCAAACTTTGGCAATTCATTTTCAGGATGGAAGGTAAGGAATTTAACAATCTGGAGAGGACCACTATCCTCTGGAAAATTTGGGAAGCCCTAGGATCCCCTGCACCATTCCTTACAGTATCCATCTTGTATCATATACCCCTAGGTCCTATGGAAGGTGAGGAATTTATCTGCCACAGAATATCTATGAAGAAACAACTTTCCATGTCTCCTATAGAACCTACTAGTTCTCTTTTACCCATTGTGATGATGCTCCTAACCACCCTACATTGTTTTAATTTTAAATGTTGGCAATGATATGAATGGTCCAAGAAAAGAAGTTCATAGATTGAATCGTCTTGTTCTACCAAGTATTGACCTACGAGATCTATTGTTGAACATGTCAATCATGGTTCTCTATCTCATTTAAGTGTGCATCATGTAATCTGCATGGAGGGGTAACGAGGATTGAGTACAAATTATATAACCAAATATGGAAAAGAAAACACAAGAACAGAAGCTTTCTAAATCCTCCTATTCTAATGCAAATGTCTGCTAATCAGGTTTCCTTCATTCAACAGGAATGCCAACTACATTCCTTTGCATCTCTCTGAAAATGAATGTGGATTTGCTTTTTACTTTTAGTTTCAGTACATGAACTGTACGACTTTTGCCTTTCCAACTGTATGTTGCATGTAGTATATGTGTATGCATGTGTGCACAGGCATATGTGTGCACAGGCATGTGGTATCAGATGTTTATTGATAGTTTGTTTCTTCCATGAATTTGCAGACATTTGTTCCTAGTGGAACTGGGTGTTTGTTTGTGGGAATATGGTGGATGGTGTGAGACATGCACGAGTGCATCATCATTTTGATACCTTTCCATGTCTCTCTTTTTGTTAGTATGCATTTATTGGTTTTTGTGTGCCTATATATGGATATAAATATGACCATGTTGATATGCTTTTGGACATACCGGATTTCTGACCATGGGTTGGTGCGGTTGCAGGGTGACAGTAAGCAGTCATGGCGGGCTGGAAGTTTGCCTTTGGGTCATCTCACCTTCTATAACCAAACAGTGGCTCTAAATCGAAGTTGGCACCTCTTAGGGCTTGGGTATGAATCAGGTGTGGGGCGGAGTGAGATTGAGCGGGCAGCCGTCATCCACTATGATGGAAACAAGAAGCCTTGGCTAGATACTGGTATTGCGAAGTACAAGAGCTACTGGAACAAACATGTCAATTATGAGCACCCTTACTTGCAACAGTGCAACCTCCACGAGTAGTTGTAGAGTAATACGATGGGCAATATACAGAACAATCTTCAAGTCTTCATCAACACGTATGTGGTCTCATGACATTCATCTTCTCAGGGACAGCAGATGGCACAGATGTCAACCTCATTCATTCCCCTTCATGTAAATTTTAACTCCAATTTATTGTAGTCCATTTTTCTTTCCATTTCTTTCCTTCTCTCTTTCCGGTTATATTCTTCTAGAGCTGAGTGAAATTAAATTAATAAATGGAGATCAAATAAGAGAGTTCATGTGAGCATTTTGTAATGTTGGTGTATCTTATCTTGAATGTACAGAGCTTCTGTAGTTTTTGAACACAGCATCTTTACATACAGAATTTACTTCTTTTCGTCTTTCGTTTGCCTTTCAGCTTTTTTTCACCCTGTTTAGTAGGATTATTACGTGCACGGTGCACCCCATCAACCACAATTAACAACAAACTCTACTTGCGAGTCCAATGGCGTTCACGGGTGGCAGGTTTCTTTGATTCTTTTTTTTGCGGGAAAATCTATGATATGGAAAAGAGTTTTGACCAATCAAAATCTACCCATGAATTTTAACAAATAACACCTGATTTGCTATCACGTTTATGATTCCAGTTTATTCGTCAATTGTTTTTTGGGATATCATATTCTATATCATAGTCGAACCCTTCGTTTCCCTTTTTATCTGAAGTTTCCGTTTGCTCACCTGCATTCCAAGTACAAATGCTTTAAATTGAATCATTATGGTTACCCTTTATTGCACGTTTTAAAAATCGATGCAGATGCTGACGGCTGATCCTTTCCTTGTATGGCGGGTCAGCGGTTCAACTATCCTGGTTGAATGGGTCAATTTATGACATCATAAATAAATAATAAAAATAATTTTATTTATGTAATACATTTTTAATTATATATATAGACACTTTTAAGTATTGAGACAAACCCAAATACACATGAACGTGCGTATCTGATGTAGGTAGGAGATTGGAACACGTTTCTTACATTGTCACATGCGAGTAAGGTTTAGCTGAGCGCTTCAGCTCAGTGGGCTGTGGAACCAATGATAAGGTTCCAGCCAGTATTAAATACATGGGGCTCACACCTTTTATAGTGAGGCTCATGAATTTATTACTAACATGGAATTTCATCATTGGTTTCACAAAAGCGTTCAGCTAATTCGAATTCATCACATGCACTCCAGTTTTTTCTTTTTTTAAACTTCACTTGGAGTTAGGCTTGTCTATCCTTTGAATATTTAAAAAAACCCCAACCACCAAGTATTTGGGGTCTGTTTGGTTCATAGTCAGAATTGGAATCAGAATTTAAATCCTGTGGAATTGGAATCGGAATAGTCTATTTCCATAATCTGTTTGGTTCAGACAAGAATGGGAATAGAAATAGGAGTCATCAGGTATGAGATTTCATTCCCAAGAAAAGAGCAGGGAATGACTATTTCTTTAAATGGAGGAATGCCATTCCAACAGGAATGAAAATAGGATTCCAATTCCACCCAACCAAACACTTAAAATCGAAATAACCCATTCAGATTCCAATTCCATACCCTATTCCCACAAACCAAACGGGGCCTTAATGTATCGGAGACTTACTGATACAATACAATGTAATATGCAAGGTTTTAAAAACTCATTGATCCGGGCGGCAAACCATGTGACCCTGGAAACCGGTTTTTTACTCGGTAAAAAATGTCAACCTGGGCAATCGTTTGCGGGTTTACAACAACAAATCTTTAATTCTTAGTTCCGCCTTTGAATTTTGAAAAACTGACAGTCCGACAGTGTATGCTATATTTTCAGTTTCACACAGACATACTTTCGATATATCTTTAATGCTATTAGTCTATTACCCTATTGAATTATCACGCCGTTTCTCTCTTTCTCTCCGCCCCTATGTGTCCTTATCCTATCAGTTTTTCATTCATGATTTGTGAAAAATTTCAGTTAGAGCAAGGTTTTAAAAGTTAAAAACCAACCTGAAAATGGGACCATTTTGATTACCTGTTTTTGGATCGGCGGTTTGATCAATCGAGTCAAATGGTTCAAGCGGTTTAACCCTTAAATTGAAATGTTAGGATAGAAATACATACATCTCTTTTTCTTTTACAAGAAAAGAGAGAGGTAGGTGGCTGTCAGCTGGGTAAATAAGAAAGAAAGGAAAGAAAGTAAAAAAGAAAAGGAAGAAGGAAATAAAGAATAAGAATAAGAAAAAGGAGGAGGAGGCGATGTTCACCAGTAATGATGATGGCAACGGCGATGGCTCACTCTTTCTCTGATCTCATCTCTGAGATCTCTCAAATCTCTTTTCTCTCTTTCTCTGATTTGAGATATTTGCCCCCCCCCCCCTCTTTAGCTTTCCATCTCCTTTTTTTCTCTATTAATAATTTTAAAAAATTAAATAATAAACCGCTGTCCGGTCGAACGGTTTAGCAGTTCAACTGTCCAAGTCAGCTGTTCTTTGACTAATTCAATGTTTTTTTTTTTCAAAAAAGTGGTCCAGTCTAAAAATGGATCTAGAAACATGACTGGTTCTCAGATCAAGCGGTTTGATCGCCTTGTCCGGTCTAGTTTTTTAAATAGTGAGTTAGAGGGATCTAGTGGGATTCAATGCCATAAATTGAATAATTCTCACGCCCAGGGGGAGGGGAGTCAGAATTCAAAATATCAATGTTCCACAGCTATTTTTACATATATTTATAAAAAATTGTATACTTATTATTTTATTTATGACATCATGGATTCACCTATTCAACCATGACAGTTGAGCTGCTGACTTGGAAATGGAGACATCCAGATTGATTTTTAAACATTAATATGCTATGTCTAATTCAGGCATATCATGTTGAAAATTTAAACCTTGTTTAGGTCAAATGGGTCAAATGTTCAAATGCGAGTTTCATCAGGTCTTTGAACAAGTCAATGAATTTTTAAGTGGTGGGTTAGTGGTTAACTTGGACTAAAATTTTATATGGAGGTGTAGGGATGACAATTTCTACCCTACCCGGTTGGTACAAGCCCCTACCCTACTCGATGGGACGGGTTTCTTTTGCTTGAAGGACAAGTTTTGGGGAAGGGACGAATTTTAGGATTCTACAACCCGCACGGGTATGGGTAGGGTACGATATTAGGCTAAACCTGACCCTCCCCAACCTACATATTGTTGGAAAGCATATAAACTTTATGTACCAAGTGTTGAATTTAATAATATTTTTGAATTTTATGTGAAAGATAATTGATAGTTCATGTGTTTTCTACATGTCTTAATCAACTAATTGAAAATTTTGTTGTTTATTTGTGTTATTTTATTATTTATTGCTTATTTATAATAAGAAATAACAAGAAATTAGATACGGGTTCTAAATCCAATCCGCCCTACCCTTAAATGCGGGGAGGGTTTTGCGTTTTCATATGTGGGTTATGGTTTGGATTCTCAAAATTTAACTTTCTATGGGTACGGGTTGGGAGGTTTAGGAAGGCGGATAGGGTCTAGAATTTATAAAACCCTCATCAAATCCGCCCCGTTGCCATCCTTAAGGAGGTGACATATCAATCAGTCTAAATTGTTAGGTCAACAAGTTGAAAACACTGGAATACAATGTTAGAGTTAGAGTAACACCTAGCCTGAAATTTTACAATGGTTTGTATAGATGATAGGGCTGCAAATAGCTTACATTGTGTAAGAACATGGATATGGTGATAGCGGTCAACTCCAAAGGTATGAGGCATGGTTTTCAAAACCGGACTGGACCGGAAAAACAAGGAACCGATCAAGTGATCAGTTCCATTTTCCCCAAAAACCGGATTTCCCCCCAAAACTGTTGATTTTGGTCAGCGAACCGCTGAACCGGGCAATTAACCGTTCAAACAATTTTGACCGTTTTTTATTTTATTTTTTGTTTTTTTTTTAATTTTTTGTCAGAATGGGCTGAGTGTTTGATTCGAACAATCAGACCGTTTGACCCAATAACCGGACCCTTGACCGGTTCGGTTTTAAAAACCATGGTATGAGGAGAAATGGGTTGGGGAAGATGGAAAGTGGTTGAACCCCCAAAAGGGCTGCACTATGTACACTCCAACAAGTCATCATAATTCCCTATAAGGGAAGATTTAAGGGCCTATTCTTTTTTTTTTTTTTTTTGGATTTTGAGAGGGGGAAGTTGGTTAATGGGATTTTGGTTCCTATTAATCAAGATAGCCATGTTCTTTTTTTTCAGATTTATGTGGGATCTGGCTACTTGGGTAAATGATACCCATCTCCTAGGTGGGTACTAGAGGAAAAGTTGTGAACATTTGGATGAGACAAACCTACCCCTTTTAATAGTGGGTTTCTATGGTTGGTCATTTTCTTATTTATATCTAGAAAATAAAAGAATGTAAATAAATATACTTACCCAGATAAATATTTCCCATAAAACACTTACCCTGCTAAATAACTTTCCGAAAAACGAACAAGACCTAAAAAAAGAGGTAAAAACTTGTATATGTAAGGGGGGACTTGAGAGGAAAGTGTCAAATTGTCAATGAAGTGGGTGAGATGAGCTGAGCTCCCCTTTAATGTTTTTGAATATTTACTAAGTGGAGAGGTTACTAGAACCTTTCATGCCACATCATCCAAATCCCAAGTTGGTCAGGTCACTATAATTTGCTCTTAATTATTACTCGGTAAATTGGGTCGACCATAGAATCAGATTGGCCTAGTTTTGACTCGGGATGGATTAAACCAGACCTGTGGCGGTTTGTAAGTCTATGCTATTACACCTGTATCCAAATTTATTTGGTTAATATAATATTTAGGCTTTGTTTGTTTGTAGTTCATTATATTAGCACTAGTGTAGAAGCGTTGGACTGCAAATGAGTCGAGTCCAAATTTTGTTTTGACTTTGTTATGCATTTTACTTTGATTTGTTTATTTCCAAGGTAGATGACTCAAAATAAAATCTGAGCAAACTAAAGTGAAATCTGGATAAAACTAATCAAAATTTATCATTTTCTCATTTACATTCCCATGCAAATATTTATTTAGCGCAAATATATGGGTTGTGAGATATGATTAGTTCCATAAGTTATCTATAAAATAAAAAATAAATAAACTTATTAAGTATAACCTCCTTTCACTTCCAGGTCCCCTCTCGTTAATTCAATCAATTATAAGGCTAAGTTGTGTTCGGGGTCTCCTACGTCCTACCCATAAAGAACTGTACACACACTCACCCACTAATACATCACGATAGTCGCACATTAAGAACATCTTTCGTACTTGTATTTTATTATTGTTTACGGGGATATTTCCGAGTACAGCTGTAGCTGTAATGTCCTGGGATAAGTGTAGATAGGAGATCTAGATTGGCTCCAGATCTTCTACTCACAAGAATTTTCTATCCACGTCTACCTATAAAATACTATCTTCATGCATTGAGAACATTTCCCTGTGCATAATAACATATAAGAGGATAAGATGTTCCTTATATGTAGCTGCCGTGTTATGTGGGTAGAGTTGCTGTAGATAGTTTATCAGGACTCCTCTGGATTGGGCTAAGCTTGCTTGGGAGTGCTTAAGAATAAACATTTAATCCAATAATCATTTATTCAAGAAGCCAAAAATTTAGGCTTATTGTTAAGTGCTTATTTCCTTTTTGGCATGTCTTGGTCAGTTGGCCTGCCACATCATTTTGAAAATACCTATTCTACCCCTGTTTGAAATAAGTGATTTTTCACTGAGTGATGATGAACACTCTTATTAGAATAACTTTGTAAGCACTACTTATTCAAAAAATACTTATTTATTCAAATAGGCACTCTCAAACTCCACCAAACACAAAATAAAAAATATCTGTTACACCACCAACGGGGCAAGGGCATATTGCTAATAATTTCCTGTTACTTAATTCTTCCATTTCCACATGTTCCTCAGTGCTCAGGACAAAGATAGAATGAAAATGTATCTTTCCAGTGGTATACGTGTGTCCGATGGATTATATGCCATGTGGAAGGCGCTGGTTGGGTGCGTGGAGATTGAGGATATGGAACGAGGGGCTCTCTATCCTTCTATCCCTCTTGTGTGGTGCATTCATAGCTTAAACTCTGTGCCCAGAATATAATTCCTTGATTTCATTTTCTAAAGCCGACCAACCGCGCTCCCTGAAACAAAGAAACCTGTGAACTGGTCCTCTCCTCTCCTCTTCTGAATTCTCCTCCCATTTTCTTGCGAAGAAAAATGGCTTCCATCTCTGCAACCACCCCGACTTCATCGGTGGTTCGTGCCAGCCTCGTGCGCAAGAGCTCGATCGGGACCTCATCCTCCCCTGTTCTTGGTAAGCCCTCGACTTGGTTGTGTATGATACCTGATTTTCAACCTTCTTCGTAGAATTTTAGATCTTTGTTTTTCTTTCCGTGGTGGAGATAACTAAAGATGTATTTAATTAAACCCCATGTGAATTCGCGCAAGACAGAACACACTCTGCTTTTCTGTGGCCAAATTTTTCTGTAGTGCGCTTCTGGGTTCAGGGCGGAATAAGTTGGAACCAAGATGGAATCAACAGATCATCGTCCATAATGGATAGAATAGATGAGCGCTGAAATTGTGGAAATGGGTTTCAAGAAATGAATTGAATTCTTGAAACCCATTTCTGTTCCCGTTAGGATCCTAGTACTGAGAGTATATCAGATGAATAATTATGCTTTTTTTTGTCCTCTGTTCCAGATACCCAGTTACTGAAATTCAGAGAACGTTGATGGTTTATGTGAAATCTTCTCTTATTATGCATTTCAGGTTTGCCAGCACTGGCTAGGAGGGGACGTGTGATGTGTTCAGTGGAGGAGAAGCCCTCTGCTTCGAGTGTCAGCTCAAGTGTGAGCATGGGTGCATCGCTCATGGCAGCTGCATGCGCTGCAACCATGTCGAACCCGGCATTGGCTCTGGTGGATGAGAGACTGAGCACTGAAGGAACTGGACTTCCATTCGGACTGAGCAACAACCTTCTTGGGTGGATCCTACTGGGCGTCTTTGCTCTCATTTGGTCTCTCTATTTTGTCTACACTGCTACCCTTGAAGAGGACGAGGAATCAGGATTGTCCCTCTAAGTGAAGGAATGTAGAGAAAAAGAAGAAAGAGAGGTTGGACTTTTGTATGTTGGATTGTGAAACAGCCTAAGCCTTTTTTTTATGTATTTTAATTAAATGAATTAATGTACTTGGTTTTGTTTCTGGAGTATTTATCTTCCTTCCACCTCTTCCTCATGTAGAATATTTTGCATTAACCTAGACGTCTGATCAGATTAAACTGATTAGCTGACCCTTGAACTCTGAATCCCAGATCTGATCTGATCTTAGGGTGGATATGCGTTGAAACCTCAAATAGTCAAATCGACCTGAGTAAAACACTGATACCCAAAGCCACCCAATTTAAGCAGAAGTGCAGTAACTACAAGTTCACAATTCATTTAGATTGCCTTTGTGCCATTACCATTCAGGCTCAAACGTTTGGAGAGGTGTGTTTGGTATTGGTAATGCTAATTCAAAATTTAAATGAGGAGTTCAACCTTTGTGCAAAAGCAATACAATTAATTTAAAAAAATAACCAATCATCTTTATCACATGGTAGTGGTGCAAGTCGGGTGGGTTGGGCCGGGTTTATGGTCAATCCATGCTCAATCCTAAAATTTGGACTTAAGGCCCAAGCCTGAACCAAGCCTGAGGTCAGGCCCGATCTTCTCAACCCAAACCTAGCTCGTACTATAATTTGATGTACTCGGGCCCGGGCCAGGTTCAGGTTGGTCGATGAACCCACTTTAAAATTATACATATAATATGTATTTATACAAATTTTTATACATATATTTATGTATATATGTAAATATGTATACAAACATATATATATATATATATATATATATATATATATATATATTTTATACATAATTTATACATGTGTATGTATGAATTAGTATAGTTGGAGCGGGCTCAGGCTACCTAAGGGCTAGGCCCGGGTCTGGCCTAAAATATAAAAAAGCTCGACTTTTTGGGCCCGAGTCTAGCCCAAGGACTGAAAATCCAAGCCTAACATGTGTAAAATTTCGGGTTGGGTTGCCTAAGTTGCACCCTTGTCACATGGTCTACTTACTTTTCATTGGTTCATATTTATAAGGTGTATATTACCGGCCATATCTCACTTTTGATTCACTTTTTTTGCTTCTTTGACATGTAGTTTTAGCAATGTAATATGCTTTAAATGAAGGGCAAATTTCTTAAACTACTTTTTTTGTTTGCAAAATTGACTAATTATACTCTTATTGTTTACATATTGTCATAAACTACCTTTAAGTTTGCTGACAATTATCATCATCATTAAATCGGGATGAAAATATTGAATTTACATTTTTACCCTTCTATTAAAACTGGCTCAAATCGACCTTAGTGTTCAAATTACTTTTTTACCCTTCCATTAAAACAAACAAGGGATCGATTAAAGGTTGGCCACCCATTTAAAAACTTGTCTTGAAAAACCATCGGCATTGTTCAAGCAGTAGGGGTGAGCATTCGGTTTATTTGATTAAAAACCGAATCGAATAAATCAAAATTTTAAAAACCAAAATAAAAAATAAAAACCGAAATAACCGAAACCAAAATTTTGTTTCGGTTTTTGGTTATTTTGATTAAAAATCGAATTTAATTAATTTATATAAAATATTATATATTATAACCTATAATATATATTATGAAATTGAATTTCATTATAATACATTATATATAATATATTAATATATAAATATATAGCATATAATATATTAAATGTTATATATTATATATTAGTTAATTTGGTTTTTTTGGTTAACCGAAATTCTTAAAAACCGAATTAACCGAACAGAATTACCCAAAAACTGAAAAAACGGAAACCAAAATTTTTTATTTTAACTGAATAATGCTCACCCTTACCAAGCGGAAAAGTCATCGTCTTCAACAACTGCCGCTGCAAACTCCGGCCGGTGGTACATTTGAAAAACTACACCTATTTATCCAAACCCATATGAGATTGCTCACATGACTATCAGATATGCAAGAATAAATCACAACAGATGGAACCACCAGAGAAATCAACTACGGCGGAGAAGAGGATGTCCCTAAAATCCCAATACATCCTAAATATTAATCGTTGATAACTAAAACACAGATCTTAAAACAAAAAGTCAGTTCAAACAGATGAAGGAAAACGAAAAGAGATTAGAAAACAGAAAATAAAAAAGAAAAACCAAAGAAAACGGAGGAGACATGATTCAAGTCGATTGCCGATTGATTACAGGCTAAAGCTTCATTGCTTCCATGTCACCTGGCAAAAAGTTGACCCAACCCGCGAACCCGACCCGAAAATAGGGTTAGGGTCTCATATTTAACTATTCGAATGTGAAATGACCCGACCCGATCCAACATAAAAAAACTGGGTTGGGTTGGGTTGGGTCAACCCGCTGACCCGATTGTCAAGTCTAATTGGGATTATTTATGCATTGTTAGAAGTTTCGATTCTTTAATTTTTTTTGTTTAGTTTTTACCTTTTATTGTTTACTCTTTAAATTGTTAAATGTTCAAGTTTTTTATTTTATATTTAGAATTTTAAGGTTAATTCTTTTAATTTTGACATTTTTCATGTAAGTTTTCTTTATTTTTTAAAATTCAATTATTTTTTGGGATGATCCGAATTGACCCATGGGTCAACCCTAACTCGGGCATTTAGGGTTAGGGTCTAGCATTTGACAATCCGACCTGAAATTCAACCCGAAGTACCTTGACCCAACCCGAACCCGACCCACCAAACCCAATTGCCAGGTTTAATATAAACAGAGATGAAAGTAGCATTGTTTGGGTTTTATTTTGAAAATTTGAGGAATATACGTGTTCCTTGGGGTCACCACGGACAGTGTTGACGGGTAGTTATGAGCGGTGATTCTCTACCACTGCTAACGATGACTTTGACGATGATGATGATGCAGACACGGGCCATGATTCTTAACAAAAAGGGTCACCATTGACGGTGCCAATGCTAACAAACAACGGCTTAGATTCGTGTAAGAAGACGCCGGTGACCGAGCCCTCATGCAAGAAATAGTCCAGTGCTGACCGAGCCCTAAATGAAATGAACTGAAATGAAAAGGGCATTTTTAATCGTAAAAGGGTATTTTAGGAATTCTAGACAAAATTATTAGTCACGTGGTGTCACATGCAAACGGTGTATGACAATCGACTAACGGTAAGGGAGGTGTTTGACAATTGTTAGAAAACTTAAGGGTAGTTTAAGACAATATGTAAACAATAAAGGTATTGTTATTAAGTTAGTCAATTTTGCAAACAGTAGGAGTAGTTTAAGAAATTTTCTCTTATTAAATGTCTAAATTCAGTGTGACACCACCCTATCTTATTGATTTTCATCCAATGGTCAATTTAAAAATAAATGCTTTCTGATTATTGGCTTATTTACTTCATATAGATTATGCAAGTCCAATGGTTCTAAAAGTATATAACCAAAAGAATAGCCTTTGTTTTGGAGAGTAGGTTTTATGGGTATTCATGATGTATATCCAGCTTTACTAGTACTAGTAAATGTGTATGTGCAACTAAATTTTAAATTACAACAACAACAACAATAATAATAATAATAATAATAATAATAATAATAATAATAATAATAATAATAATATTATTATTATTATTATTATTATTATATTATTATTATTATTTTATTAAATTTTGATTTTCATTTCCATCATTAATATAAATAATTTTTATTTAATATGATGAATATATAACATTAGAAATGTTACCAAATGTTTTCAATAAAATTTTATACTTTTTCACTTTTTCAATTATGACATCATGAGTTGATTGGAAAAGTTGAATCATTGACCCACCATGGAGCCATCTAGATAGGAAAATACCTTTGACTTCATATCAGTTTTAAATTATATATATTTCATCTGGATTGTATAAATAATTTTTGCTTATCATGCTTAATTTTTGTTTGATATAATTTTTTATATACTTGTGTTTCTTTGTACTTTTTGATTTTTTTTTAAATTTTATTATTTAACTATCACATCATTGGTTAATCAATTTGACCCATACCACTAACCCACCACCCAAAAATGAAAATAGTTTGATTTTTATGTTTACTTTAAATTTTGTATTACATTTCCATCATTAATAAAATTAACTCTTATGTACAATACATATTTTTATTCAATATAATGAATGTATGATATTAGAAATGTATCCAATATTTTATTTTTTATTAATATATAACATTAGATATGTTCCCAATTTTTTCTTTATTTTTGTGATTCTTTGTTTTCTATTTTTAAAATTTTTATTATTTGATTATGACATCATTTCATTTCTTGGTTGGTTTTAGATTTGGAATTCTATTTTCATCATTAATAAAAATATTTATTACATATCATACTTATTTTTCTTTAGTATAATGAATATATAATATTAGAGATATACCCAATTTATTTTTCTGTATTTTTATATTTTATTTTTATTATTTAATTATGATATTATTTTGTAACCCATTTGACCCAAATGGTTAAATTGCTTATCCACCACCAGAAGGAAAGAAGATGGTTTTGTTTTCGAATTACTTTTCAAAGTATTTATTTTTATACTATTAAAATTAATATTGTGGACTAATTAGTAGAATTTAATGATGAGAAAAATAAATATTAAATGTAGAATTTAATGAGAGAATAAACGTTAGATATGAGACTTAATGAGAGAAAATAGTAAAATAGTTTTATTTCTAATTGGTTTTAAATTTTATATTCTATTTCCATCATTAATAAAAATATTAATTATTTATGATACTTATTCTTATTTAATAGGACGAATACATGATCTTAAAGATGTTCCCAAAATTTTCCTTTTTTATATTTTTTTTGCATTTTATCTATTTTTGAATTTTTATTATTTAATTGTTGTAACATGGGTTGACCCATTTGACCTATAATGGTTTAATTTATTACCACCACCTAGATGAAAATACTATTTTTTCTAGGTCAATTTTAGAAGTATAATTTTTTATGCTATTGGAATTAGTGGAATTTAGTAATGAGAAGAAATAAAAATGCCTTAAATATATGATTAAATGAGGTTGAATGAAAGTAATTGCTTAAAATGTGGGATTTAATGAGAGGAATTTAATGCATTAAATAATAGTATTCAAATTACATTTTCTATCAT